TTTCCAAGAATGTCAACCCCTCCTCCCCCCAGGTCAGCCTGATTACTCCTCTGCCGGCAGCAGCAGGTCAATCCATACCTTGTTCTCCTTGTCCCTCCTTTTCTTGTCGGCACTGGAGTCCCTGATCTTGTCGTCGTCCTTGGCTGGTCTGGGAGGTTTGCTGGATTCTGATTCGTTCCTGCTTCCACCTAGTACTTGAGCTACTGCATCTGAGCTGTCCAACTGCAGAAATCATGCCAGTATGTCAGCAGGTTATGTTTTAATTCACTCTCTTTTAAAATTTGTTCGAGGTTGTTATGCCTGAGTGAATGCACTCCCCAAAACAGATGTCCTTATTTAGTTTTCGGTGCGCCGGTGTCCAAATGCATACTGTAAGTTGCGGAGTGTTCATTAAAATTGCATAGGAATTAAACATGGTAAAAGGATGCAGACAAGATGCATTTTGAAGGTGGCCTTACTCCAATGAAAATTATAAAAATGTGAACACTATAGACAAAGTGACAAATGAAATACAGTTTACGTTGAAAAAACATCACCTTGCAAACTGTTTACCAAAGGCAATGACATGTAACATTATTATTACGGTGTTTTATTCAATCATCATTGCAGCCAAACAGGCTGAATTACAGATGATTTCACAAGGATAATATTAAATACAGGAAACAATATACAAAGATTTAAATTAAAAAACAAATAAAAATGCAAAGACAAATACAAAGAGCGAACTTCTGTGGTTATTAATTACGTGTGTTCAAAAGCCTGGGAAAGAAAGGAATCAGGCTATTTTTAAACAGCTGAGTTTTACACATGATTTCCTTAAACGGGTTACGATTTCTTATATTCCTAGATGTGGCATTATTTAATGGCAACCAGTGATGAAACTGAGGAGATTTCGCAAGTAAATGACTGAATTTTAAGCAAAGTCTAGTCCTCCTATCACAGAGTGTTTCAAGTTAAACATACAAACTGTAAAGGTTATGAGAGAAAAACCAAAGGATGCTTTGATTCAAAAAGTTTTCCTGAGTGTCTTTGCAAAAGTCTCTGCTAGTTTCAAAACATCGGACCACTCATTTTTGCAAATAACACTTTAGAATTATTTATACATCAAAATTCTGCTGCAGACGGCTTCCAGCTGGCAAAAAAATACTGTACAGTGAATACTAGGAAAAATTTCAGCTTAACTTTGAAGGTTTAGCTTTGTACTTAGCCAGCCAGTACTTTCACTGGCCAAATGTACTTACCTTATTTAATATTGCACTGGCTACCTGCTGCAGGAGTTCATTGGTTCTCTCAGGCTCTTGGCCTGCCACTATCTTGGATGGCTTCACTGGTAAAGGCTTCTGATGTACAAGAGCTAGAGATGGGGTCATTGGTGTTGAAAGACAACAGTTGATAAATGAACATTGCTGTCTACTGGAGCATAAATTCAGCCTAGCAGGTACATGTATGTACAAGTCTTCAAGAAAATAATGTTCTGTAATAAGCTTTCAGACTCTCAAAACCTTTCGCAAGATTTCAAAGAATCTCAGAGTGTTAGGGTTTTCACATCCTTGAAGACAGATATGAAATATTTTCCATCTACAGCAATGGAGAGCCGAAGTGACAATGTCATCTCTTGCCAAGTGATAAGGTAATGACACCACACAAAGTCACCCAACTGTTTCCTTGTGCTTTGGCAATGGATGTCTAAGACGATTAGTCAACGTGTAGACCCATAACCCTCAAGACCATGGTGACTGACGTCACACTTTGGTAATCCATTTAACCACTTGAAGCAGGATCAGGTGTAAATACACATAATTTTCCTTATTTGTTCCACGAAGGACGTGTACACTCGTTAAAGAATTCTTTTCATTTTCGCGGTTGATGTATTAACGCGTCATGCTTGGTTGGGTCAAAGCACAGTACGGGCGTTTCACAATAGCGCACCTCCAAGAGTTTGCAACACATTAGCCAATCACAATGCGCCAAATCTGTCGACCCAATGCATGTTTGGAAAAGGTTGACAGATTTCATGCGCTGTGATTGGCCAACACGTTCCAAACTCTTGGAGGCGCACTATTGTAAATCCCCCGTATTGCAAAAAAAAAACCGCCCCCAGCAGCTTTTCACTGATTGAAAAAAGGTGTGTTTCAAAATCTTACCCAAAGGGGCCCTGTGACACACTTTCTTTCAGGAGTCATCAAGCCCCACAAAATTAAGTTAGGCTACATGTTTGCATGTACATGGGTATTAATGCGTTCTTGAAACCTCCTGGCAAATTTCAAAAGATCCGATTGGTTGAGGTAAGCTACAAGTTTTGAACTACAAAGAAATGGTTTGGTAACATCAATGTATGTGACCAACAATCTGTCAGTTTGTTTTGATATATACCTGAATAAATTCAATACTATTGAAATGCATTATAGATTTTTGTACTCACCAACAACATCAATTGCTTTTTGCAGGAATGCTATTTTGTTCTCTTTGTCCTGTATTAATGGAATAAAGACAGAAATTTCACAACTTAATATGGTGGTTAAACCCAATGTTACAAATGTTACCATAACTCCTGCATTTGGCCAAAAAAGAGATTTTTAAATTTTAGGCAAGACCGGGAGTCAAATATGGAGTCTTGAGCCTCTGATGGCAATTGATGCAGTTTTCTGTAAGAGTTTGGAAATACATTTAAGCCTGATTTCCGAAGGGAAACTTTTCAAGGTAACTTGATTACAATGGTCTGCAGTTCATTTTGATGTCAATGACTGTTAAAACTCTAGTAAAAGTGGAGTTAAATGAAAGGAAATCAGAGTCAAATGCAACATCTGCTCACATGCAATGAGGTGATAAACAGTGACTAAGGCATGTACGTGTACATCATGTTCTGGTCAGAGACAAAACAAAAATCTGAAAATATTGAAATGCGATTGGACTACAAACACAACACCAACCAGTTCATAAATTTGGTACCAATTTGGTACTCGTTTGAATACAAGGAGTGCTTATGTTAAATGTCACAAGTGAAAACATTACAAATGCATTCACAATGAAGGGACTTGTAGAGTTTACTGACATCCCTCTCAATTTTTAAATGATTTTTTTTGTACATGCAGAGTATGCCGGCTGTAAAATATTATAGTCTTTGGTAAAACAATTCTGAAAGTAAATCATTCATTGGAAAAACTGAAGGAAAACCATGACAAAGATGAGACGAAAACTTGATTGCAGATTATCCCCAGAACTGCTCCTACAAACTCCCTTATGGGAGCATTGCGGACGATGAACCAAAAAGTTCTTGGGGTAATCGCATTACAGCCCAGTACATGTAGTTGGAACTTTATTGATGTAGTATTCATGGTATTGTTTAGACAGTCTGACAGTGACAGTTATTTTAAAGCAACACTGTGGCAGTTGTTATGGCAGCTGTAACGCATCTCCCATTTTCTATCGTTATGGCACTCCAACTGCGCAAGCGCGCCAACTTTGCGCAGATTTCGGACTTTATTTCCCTTTAAAAAAAAATCCTCCCAAGCCTCCGATGAGAAAAGAAAAAGTTCAGTGCCGTAACGATAGAAAATGGGAGATGTGTTACAGCTGCCGTAACGATAGCCACTTCGTTAATACAAAATTACACAAGATTAAATTCTACATGATAATCAGTTATAAGTGATGTGAAATGAAAACAATGTATGCACTAGCCAACATATATACACCATTGCAATGCAAGATTTCCAAAGTCCTTTCCTACCAATATTAAAGAGTAACATGTCGTTAGCCCTAGGCCTACCTTCACATTTTGTGAATCCATTTCTGTTGCAGAGTAAAGTCCTTTCATGAAGCCTGTTGTTCTAATAACCTGAAAGAAGAAAACGAACAGAGAGTGGAATAATTACCTGATGTTATCATGCCATGAAGACCCAACCATTAATGAAGTAATTACACCCCATTTTAGCTTACCTCTGTGACTATGTCATGTAAAAATCTAAACGGTGGTTTCCTAAGCAATTTTTCTGTAAGTGGCGGCTTTTTAATTAGTTTCCCCAGAGTATCCTGGGTTTCCTTTACAAAGTCACCCATGTTGAACGTTTCTGGCAATTACACGTTTTAGCAGCTATTAACTGTAAGAAAAATCACGATTTCCAGAAAGAAAACGGACTGGCTTTCACGTCGTGCGAAGACTGCAAGAGTCAACTGTTTTCGTTAGTAACGCAGACGCCATGATGTGTGAAGCGATGTCATGCGTAGCGCACGTACACATAACGATGATTGAGTTTCGCTGGTGCACACTTTGAACCTTACAAGAAAGCAAAATCGTGCATCATACCAGGCAAAACATTTCCCAGGAAAGGAATTCTATCCCATCATTCACTTTTTCATTCATGACATTTGCTACGTGATGTAAGGAGCACCTGATGCCATAGAAAAGATGACAGACAGGCTTGTAACCGGCCTGTTGAAACTTGAAGCTATTGAAAGCACATGCCTGGTTTTACATATCAGTAGCCTGTGATTTGTTCTTGTATGTAATTCATCAGCAGCTTCAGTTTTGCTTTTATCGGCGTCCTAAGTTATCTTGCTTAGGACTTATCACACCCACTCCCACTTACATGAATGACATTCGTAAAAGTTGCCAAAAGTGGGATTACAAACGCTCATTAATTTTCTCTTTGGCAAGGTTGCTGGGTTCATGGCCCAAACTAAAGATTACATTTTTGTAAACCAACGTGAGACAATGTCTTTTCCTACCTCCATGGTAAGAACATGGAGGAAGGAATTCCTTCCTCCATGGTAAGAAACACCTGGTGCACCATCGACTGCTTATGGTATCCGTGAAAAAAGTGGGGAGAAAAAGTTCCTAAACCCTCCCCTTGTTCGATTTTCTTATAAAGTTAATGCAACCATGAATGTTTTTGTTAGTTTTGTTTTGTTTGTGCCTTTTGTTTTGTTATGACTCCGTTCGCTTCCCCCACTAACTCCGGCCCATCGTCTCCGCCCCCTAACTTCGCTGCCAGAGAATCTAACTGGTTGGCGTGCGTTTATTCGCTGGTCCCCATACCTGTTAGGTGATTAACTTCATTCAACGGTGTGCATGCATGCGAGCACAACCACGCGTTCACTTACCAGGCTTCCGAGCTAGCTACGCACGATGTATCGAGAAAGGACATTATTCAACTCAAGCGTACGCGTGAAAACTGAACCCGGTGTAGTAGAAACCGGAGAAAAAGTACTAGAATTTATCCGAAAATCCACCATGACGACCCTAAAACATGACCCTAAGGTAAGTTTAATAATGTGTGACTTCATCTGATGTTTTATAGTACACTATGATGGAAAACAAGGACTAAAATTTGAGGCTGCTTTTTTCTCGAGTGNAACAAATTAAAAATGGCAAACGTCTTTCAATAAATGTCTTTGTGCTAACAATGTTGTGCTCTAGGCCTACCTCCCAGGTTGTATCAACTGAACTGTCGTGACAGTGTACTAATACTGCATCCGTACATGTAGGCTTAAGAGCAGACAGTAAGAGTTCCATGTAGCCTACGGACATAACTTTTCTCCTTGCGCAGTGCTTTATACATGTAATAACTTAAATAAGGCAGCTATACGGTACATGCTATTGCTATAGCAAGCCATCAGAAAGTTGGGGCTGTAATAGTATTAGTGGGCCTAGTTAGTACATCCTGTTGGCCTACATGTAGTATAACAACATGCGCAACAATAACGTGTAAAAAGCCAAAGTTAGCTGTGAAAATATAAAAGCAGCAGTGTTTAGCCTAGTCCCAGACTGGGGGCGGAAATGGGTCAAGTTGTCCCCGGGTCAAATCGCCCCCAAGTCAAATTGTCCCTGGGTCAAGTCGTCCCCCAAGCGTTATCTAGGAATTTTTCTTTCTTTTTTAGGTACATCAACACGTAGAAGAGAAAGAAAACAAGATAGAAACTCGTACATATACGTGTACTCATTCATTCACAATTTTCATTCGTTCTACGCAGCTAGCTTTTGAAATCTATGTTGGGGAAGACGTGCCACACAAGATATTTATTAAAAGGGCAATTCCTGGTGTGTGCCAATGTAACAGGACATAGGCCTATTCTTTGAATTGTCAAAGCAGTTTGAACATCTTTTAATTTCAAATCTGCCAGTAGTCATTTCCAGTTTATTTAAATAACTTTCTGAAATCAGTAATGCGGAAATGAATTTAAGTTATTTTGCATAACTAGGAAAATCAGGTTGTTTCAAGAGGTTTAAGTTGGTTTTGTTCCTGTAACGACAGCCGTTTCTGCTCTGGGAGTGCCATCAAGCAGGCGAGCTTAGCACGTCTGGTCTCCTTGCCAAATGGAAGCGTCTCACTGGACCATCGCTGTAGGCAAACCAGGCCTGAGTCGTCAAACCACCCAGCTTTTTCAGAGATTACTCAGTCCTGTCTGATATATTGATTTATTAATATATGATTATTAAATGAAATAAAAATAAATAACTTAAATAAAATAAATAAAAAATATCCCAAGTAAAAACTTGAGAAGAAAAAAAAATTAAATAAATTACCCCCCCCAAAAAAATAAATTACCCCAGTAAAAACTTGATAAATAAAAGAAGATAAATAAATTATCCCCCCAACTAAATAACTGCAGTAAAATTATAATTACATGTATAATGTAATTATTTAGACAGGGGACGACTTGACCAGGGGACGAGTTGACTTGGGGATGACTTGACCAACATTCCTTGGGGCCAGTCTACAGCCTAGTAGTAGTGCAGGACTCCCTCCGTATCCTGGGCCCCACAACGGTCCACCCAAAAAGTGGAGACTCCGCTAAAATGCCTTCTAATGAACCCCACTTCACGTGTATACCTTATTCACCCCATCCATGCCATCTGACCATGCTAACCACTGATGTATTAATATCTGCGATTTCCAGTTTGTAGAAGGCCGTGAAATTTGGTTTCAATTTGGGTGAATGAGCCATACACACAAAATGGTGTTCCTAGAAGGCGTTTTTGCGGAGTCTCCACTTTCTGGGTGGACCGTTGGACGGGACCAAGGATATGGAGGGACACTGGCCCCCAGTCTGGGGCTATGTTTAGCCTATGCGCTACTCAGAAAACACTTCCATGTAGTATGGTTAGGCTCTAGAATTTTTTGCACTAGGATAAGTGCACAGGGTGTCACATGATGTCTGTGTACAGACCTCTTTCCTTACAAAATGTTTCCCTAAAAATGTTATAACAGCCGTCAGAAAGTAATAACATGTCCTAAAAAGTGAAATTTAGCTGAAAGTGAAATTTCCTTAGAAAATACTTACATGTAGGTTTGTGCACAGGAGCATCAAGTGTCGTTTGTATCTTTCCAAAAAAATGACCTGACATGAGGCTGGTACATGTTCTTACAGCTGGTCAGTTGAAATTGACCCTCTTTTTATTTTCACAGTCATGCATGTCAGTAGGAGGTGCACATCAAAACTCATAGACTGTCCTTGAATTCTGAAAAGTCCCTTTATTTGGAGACAAAATCAGTCCCTTGAAAGGGAGAATGTTTCCCCCCAAAAAAGGAATTGTTTTTATTTCAAGCGGGCTTGGATCCCAAAAACCTGCATGCACACTATAATCAACTTGTTTCCCATCTACTGTAACTTTACAAACTACATGTATAGAAGTTATTTCAATTATTTTTCCATTAACTTTGTACTATGTCACTTAGGTAACTGTACATGTATGTAAAAATGGTAACTAAAGCAAACAGATTGATTTTTTATTTAGAAAAAATCTTTGATGTGATCTTTTTACCACCTTTCATGTCCCATCACAGACTCTTGCTTGTAGATCCAAGACTTACATGTAAATGGGAGAATTTTTTGTGATTGGCAGCCCAGGGTGTTGTCTTCCGCTGAATACAATGGCATAAAAGGAATCCTCAGGGCAATGGCAGGATCCCCTAGCCCAGTTGAAAAAGTCCAAGTTTTGGGAGACGTTCTTTCCCACAGTGGACTGATTTGTTCCCAAATAAAGGGACTTCTGTGAGCTTAGGGACAGTCTCCAAGTTGTGATGTGCGGCACTGTAGACATTCTGTGGTTGAATGCTTGTCAACAATACTACCATCAACTTGTATGCTGACTCATGTAGTAGAACACATGTAAGAATGTACATGTTACCTGTACATGTTATGCTGCTGTGTTGCCCCCAGATATTAGCAGGCAACCCTGCGTGGCTTCTTGAAAACTAACTTGTTATGAGGATTGAGGACACGACGCGTAACATTTGGGATTTTGAATCCAGCCTTGGTAGATAAATACGTCACTCTAGAATTCTACTTTCTCAATAAAATCTTCCCGAAGAAGCCGTCCTGGTTGACACATATCTTTAAAAAATTTCATACTGATTTTCTTTTCACCATGTGGCCGACCTTTTTTTGAAAAAAAAAATCAGAGATTTTACTCATCATCCTGTCATTCTCCACCTGATGACAGTCACACTACAGCACACTCCTTGTGTTACCAAACACAAAACCTCAGTTTGGCCAATTTTGAGAGGGGTAGGGAAAGAATCTTGCGTTCAAGCACCCCATCATAAAAACACCCCAAAAAAGATTTTCTCAGATCAGTTGTAGACATTTTTACATTTTAATTCATCCCTTATGTGCAAAAATGTATAATTTGGACATTTACAAGTTTGTGGAACATGCAGAAAAATCAATCCATAGCTACAGCTAAGAAAATAACCACAAGTTTGGAAGAAAAAAGTGTATCCCTCGCTATTAATTTTTCACCAAACCCACACACCTTTGCCAAGTTAAATCCGATATTTGCCGTCTGCTGTCCACACCACCAATAGCTGGTTTCCTCCCATTTTTATGTGCAGCAAGCGCAGCTCTGGTGTTGATTACCAACTAAAATGTTAATGTACATGTACTTTAATACGTTACGTGCGTGCATGTGGATCTCATCGCGGCATGAAGGGCCAAGGACGTGTCGCTCCGAATCGACATGACTGGTTGAAATTCCACTTTCTCCGTTCTTACATTTTAGAATTATTTTTTATTACAAGTCTTCATTTATTAAACTGTATCTCACTTTCATAAACAAACTTTTTAAAAATCAAATTTACACAACAAATTGCACATGCCTTTAAACAAAAAGTTATGCATACATGTACTTGTACACCTGTACGCTTTACCTACTGTCGATTGGTGATACATGTACATGTACATAGGTCAAGCAGGACGGCAGTTTTCGCATAAGACGAGGTCTGGATAATACGAGCTAATTTAGTAAGGCCGAAGGCCCTGGTATTAACAAGAGTCGACTGTATATGGTACACACCTCAATTATGGACCTCTTTACTAATAAATTCATAATTATGCACACATGCACACAAATGCCTTGGCGGCAGAAAGTGTGAATGGGCCATTGAAAATGTACAGGGGTGCGTCTTTGATGATCATTTTCTCTCAGGTTTTCTGACTTTGTTCATTTTTTTGTTCAGAAAATCANAATTAAATTGTTTTTGCTATTAGTTTCAAATTTAAGTGGAATTTTTAGTGCTCTGTTAAAAGATTTTAAAACTGTTGTTTTTCCTGTGTGTACGAGATTGTTGTTTCCTAGTGTGGCCCCCTCCCATCATAAGTAGTACCAACTACATCGTTAATGTTCATGGGCCACTCCTCCACAGAACACGTTCAAGACATGCGTGTACTGCAGGATTTTGGAGAACTGAGACAGTATCCAATTTTTTCCTGGGGGCAGTTGGAGGATTTTGAAGGATTGAGGGTCTGCCTTAGCGAAAAGGGCCTAGGCGGTTAATAATGTAATGGATTCAGTGGACGGGGCATATCAGCCAGTAGCATCAGCTACTAGCATTGCAGCAATTCGGTGGAGCATTGCAGCAATGACTGCTGGTGGCCGCCGTTAAGCTTGAAGCCAGTTTAACCACTTCCCTTCTTTTGAGAGAAGTCACTTGTCATGTTTATCACAAACGAAAGTGCTGTATATCCTGCGTGTATTTTTTCTTACTTTTTAGGACATCACCGAGCGCGAACAGGTGCGGAAGATATTCCTTGGGGGTCTGAATTCGGAGACAGTTGAGGCGACCCTGCGCGACCACTTTGGCAAGTATGGGGACATGACAGACTGCTGCGTCATCAGGGATGCCGCCAAGAAGTCACGCTGCTTTGGCTTTGTCACGTTCACCAAGATGGCCATGGTGGACTCCGTCATGGCCGACTTCAAGGAGAAAGGCGGCCCCGCGATTGACGGCAAGACGATAGAGATCAAGAGGGCCATTCCGCGCGAGGTGAGCATGCACCGGATGTGTCTGTTTCGTGGGGCATGACTGCGGTTCCTTGCCATTTTGCTGTTGTGTGTTTACTGGGCGCCAGTATGGTACGGTAGAGTGACTGATGGCAGAGGTTGACTGAACACAGAAAAGATGTTTACATTTACAAGTGGTGTTGAGAACATTTTTGTTCGTTCTACTTGTTTTAACTCGACTGTTTTCGGGCTACTTTCTGTTTATAAACACACAAATCTGCTGATCTGGGTAGCAGTTCTGTTGAAATTAAACTTGGGGGGAAAGGCATTAAGACGTTTTCCAGCTGTTGATCTTATTTGCCTGAAAAATGTAAATGTGAATAAAATGGTGAAGCAGTGCAAAAGAGAGGTGAAAATATTTAGTGTTGGTTTAATGTGGTGGTTTGGTTATTGACAGTAAATATTAAGAGCATTTCAAAATGCATTTTCAAAACAAGTGGATTTGGCTTTAATAGACTTGTACATGTAGGTCTGGCTGGTACCGGCCATTTTGAAGCAGTGTTTGAAACCACATGTTCAAGTTCTGACAGGAACCAGCGAAACCAACGTCTAAGCCATACATGTATCTGCTTGTTTCGAAAATGTTCTTAGTTTCCGTGACCGTCCGGTGCTTTTGATTCCTTAAAAGCCTTTACCTTACGTCTTTGTCCTAAGATACATATTGGTAATTCCAGAAAGTAGGTGTCCAAAAGTGTGACATTTTTGTGTCCCTGTTACATCTGAGCTTCATTGTTTGACATGGAAATATCACCAGAACTGATTGCAAACTATTTGTCTTATAGGTACTTTGCATTAATTCATCGCTCTTGGAAATTAGAAAATGTGTCCTGAAGTTAAAAAAATCACATGTCAGATGTGACTGGGACATGAAAGGGACCCCTAATTTTTGGAATGACCCATATATGCAGTCATGCCACACTGTTAACTGGCATACCATGAACTGTACCAAATTGAATCACAAGAGGGACGTGTACATGACACGCCACCATCCGTATCCCAAGCCTTCAGGCAGATCTTGTGTCGTCTCTTTGCCAGGATTCGTGCGAAGGTGCTGCCAAGGAAAGAGTGAAGAAGGCCTTTGTAGGGGGCATCAGGGAAGAGACCACAGAAGATGACCTGAAGGAGTACTTCAGCAAGTACGGCACCGTCACGGAAGTCAAGATCCCCACAGATAAGACTACGAAGAAGCGGGGATTCGCCTTTGTCACCTTTGATGATCATGACATCGTCAACAAGATAGTCGGTTGGTAGAAGTGCTGTTTGTCTGTGAGCGATTTCATTCCAAAATTTTGTATAGCAATATCGCCATACAGTTTTCTTTCTGTATAGCCAAAATTGATTTTTTTGTAGCCAAAAAACTAGGGGTTGGGGCCTAGCTTGCTCTACGCCACAGATTTACGCTGTGCTGGTGTCCGGTTTGCATTCCGTCTACTGTGTCTTTCAGCGCAGTGGCGAGAACCAATCTCATGCACGAAAGCTGCACGTGATGTTTCCACAGTGAAAGCTTTCCAAGATGCATGTGCACCCAGCCTACTATCTTTGCGTATACATATGTACGTTTGTGCGTGTGGTCACTGTGGTACAGCAATCGCGTTGTGGGATTTTCGTCCTATTTTGACTTAGTTTACCAACTATCGTTTAGATCACAATTTTTCAAAGATCTCCTTTTTTCATTCTTTGATTGGAAATCTCCTTCACAAATTGCAGCACAAATTGCATCTGGCAACTGCGATTTAATTTTGAAAATGGATTGCACAATTGCCCAAACATATCGCAAAATGCGATGTGATAAAAGGGAAATTGCTAAATAGTTTGTCTCTGGCCATGCTGGCAGCGTGTCAAAATAATTTTTTAACCCTAACACTCCTCAATCCTTCACCTGTTTGAGGACTGAGGAGTGTTAGGGTTAAAACCGATACTGGTCTATAGGTATTTTAGAATACAAAAGCTTTGCTTGGTATTGACTATTGCTGGGCTCCAGCCAATGTTTTGGAAGGCCGGTGCTCCTACATTTTTCCATGTACAGAGAATATGTGCCATTTTGTGGGAAAATTGTTTTCAGTCTAGAAAGTATCATGAAAATTCCCAGCCAGAGGATAAAGGGGTCATAGATTAACTCTCAACATGCCACCTCTGTGCTTGGAAATCTCCAGAGCCTTCCGAGATCCTTCCCTCTGCCGGATACAAATGGCACATTCTTTATGTTTTAACATTTTAAGGATATCATCATTTCCTACGTAAAGCAATAGGTTTTGAGATCTTCACATTCTGTCCCCTATCCCACTGAAGTCTCCAAAACTGCTGTGTGGATTTTGAAGATTTCTGTGAGGGCAAGGATTAATCCTAGCCATTCTCAATCCTCCAAAAACCCTCTGAGTGGTTTGGAAGATTTTGGAGGATTGAAGCTTTCTGGTTTCGAGGGATACATTTTCATAAAGGTTTTTGGCTAGACCATGTGTCGTTTATGCTCAGCCATTCACAATTAGGGCATTTTGTACAATTGAAGTCATTATACAGTGTTTATAAATAATAATACATTGGGTTAGGGCAAAACCCATAATAGATATTAACCCTAACCCTTCATAATACTGCAAATTACTACTTGTAGTAAAATGTATTACTGAGCGCTGTCGCTTGTAAGAAGACATGACTTTATTGTTCTGTGAAGCCATAAGATACAATAGATAAGACAATTAACCATACAGTGCTCTGGCACTATAAATGCATGGCTTTATTGTTCTCTTTATGAGTAACAATGGAAGTAACCTAGCCAGAAGTAGTAATCTGTAGCACTAGGTCCTTCAGGCTCAGACTGTTACTTAGTATTTTGTAGCACTGAGTAGTAAAAGCCAAACAATATGCTTGGCGGTTAGGGTTAACATCTCCCAAACACGAAAAGTGCACCTTGAAAATAGTTTGTGGTACCTGCTATTACACTTGACACGGACTGGCTAGTTGACCCCGGCAAGCTAGCAGGTCTAGTGGTTAAGACATCTGCACTCGTTAGCATGAGGTTGTGGGTTCGAGTCCCACCTGAGTATAAAGCTTGTGAATTTTTTGGCAAGCTCTTGGACGAGCGCTGAGTATACAGTGTAAAGTACATATACATTGGGTACGGGCAAAACCCGTATAAATTAAACATCTCCCCAACGCAAAAAGTGCATTTTGAAAATGAAATCATTCGCAGTACCCAAAGATATGATTTGCTCTGTCTCACCGTGATGACAGGAATTTTTGGTACCTGGAGATGGACTGAAGATGTGTCCAAGCCAAAAGAGCTTAGAGGGGTTGGAGCAAGATGGAAGATCCTCTTTGTTTTGCCCCGATTTGTCACAGGGTACATTTGCCCTTTCTGCACCCATGCGGTCACAGCGATAAACCCAAATTGAACCCCAACTTAACAGAAAGCTTCTGGTGCCTTTGTACAGCAATAAAGACGCACTACATCAAGGACAGACGGTGCGAGGCCAAGAAGGCCGTGCCTCGGAATGCGATCAGCAAGAAGGATGGACCTGACAACTTCGGAGGCGGCAGTAACTTTAGAGGGGGTTCAGGGGGTGAGTGTATAACAAGGACTTCTGTCCTTGCCACTGCTTGCTTAACAGCTGGTCCTGTATTCTCTCTAAAGTTTGAGCTGAAGAAAAAAAAATACCAAAATGAAACAAGGGGAATGAAAAAAAAAAGAAATATTATTGCTCATTTGGTTCTTGGAAATAACCGTGCCTGGCAACATGTGGGTTTAAGATATGCAATTTTTTTTACTGTGCCAGACTCTTTAAAAAAAGCATGTTACACATTTCTTTTGCTAGTAAGTTATCAAATTTTTAACTTTGATCATTGTGTTCAGCAGCACCAGAAACATTTACTTCATGGTGTACCATTCATGGAAATTGAAGAAAAATACTCAAAAATAGTCCCATTATAAAAGCATTCAACTGGTTGAGTCTCTTTGTGTTAGCTCTTTATTAACAGTAATTGTTATTGCGACTGTTATTTATTTCTGGTAATGACACCAAGGATTCCTCAAAAGCACCCTAGGCACTGTAGCTCGCAAGCCTGAAGAAACCTGTAGGGATGAGACAGTGAGAAGCTGTTGCAGTTGTAGAGGTGGGAGAAAAACCCCAATGGAATATTCTGGGTAAAACCCAACAAAATCAGGTCGGGACTGAAAACCAAATCCACATGTGGACCGAGCAGGGAATCGAACCCGAACTGCACAGATGGAAGCCAAGGAAAGGTCTGCTACACTAACCTGACTCCTATGCTAGAAAACTTGTGTTTGAATTTATTTAGAATCCCACAGCGAATGTTGAAAGGGTTGTCATTTATGGGCCTTCATCTGATTGTTCCAGTAACTTTAGTTTACATTTTGAATGTCAGATTTTGGAAATAACTTCAGCAACGACAGAGGTAACTTTGGTGGTGGTTTCAACAATGGCGGAAACTTCAGCAGTGGGCAGGGTTTTGGAGGCAATTTTGGAGGGAACCAAGGATTCGGGAACAACTTTGGAGGTGGCGGGGGAGGATTTGATGGTGGAAGCTTTGGCAACAGTAAGTGGTGAATGGATGTGATACAAAACATGGTATAAAGGGCAAATAATTTACCGTCACCGCAACGTTTTTCCTGCATGGGCAACTGCTTTTGCAAATTTGCTGTTGTAAATTTTATTTACACTGGTCATCTGGTTCAGTTCTTAATGCAGTAGAACATGGTTATAACGAACCTGACGGGGTCCACACCAGATGTATGTTGCCATTAGGTATAGTAATTTTCAGTCACAGACCCAGGCACCTGTTCTGAATTCTGGCCCATATTTAAATGTGTGCTGGCCTGCCCCACAAAATGTTTCAGTATGAGGATTTGGGGCCCAAATCTACATGCAAAATAAACAAGATAAAATAAATAAAACAATTAACAATAAAAAAAAAAAAAGAAAGGGGAAAAAAATCTGGTTTTTTTATTATGTTTATCTCAAGTTTTCCTTGGGTCACCGCTTAAAAACTGCACGTTAAGTATGTGGAACGAATCTATTCCTGCATGTATGGTCTTGCGTACATGCATAACGTATGCAAGAACCCGGTTGTAACCATCTGTCTTTCTTTCGCCGATTGGGGGTGCACTTAAGCTCAGGATGGGTTATGTCCGAAGTCGGCAACGAAATGTCAGGCAAGCATATCTGAAAACGATCAAAACTCAAGATATTTATCAAAGATTTCTTTGAGTCAAGTAGCAAATGCTACTGTCTGTCTGTGCATTTATTTCCGGTTTTGGTGGTTTTTAAGCTCAAATCTGCCAGCTTTGCAGCAATTATCAGGAAAACTTTTCCGCCTTCCGGTCTACATGGCTGTCTGTAGCTGTGGAACGTAACACACACATTACATGTACCGGTATATGCGATGTGCATGTATGGTACCCACTAGCGATGCAGAGGGTGCCACGTGTTGGCCGATGTTCCATCATGGGTGCGATTTTCCCCAACATTGAGTTATTTATCTTCAGTTCTAAATATGTTTCTTATATTTAAAATAAATTTGTAATGCTCAGTTAAAGTGCACAGAAAATTCGGAAGCCAAGGGAGATGTTTGGCATTTCCGAATGTTCAGTACAGCAGTGCACATTAAGGTGACGTTCAACTGTAGTCGGTTAGTGTGGAAAGTTTCCTCACAAATTAACCAAATATTTGGTTCACAATTTGAACATGAAGCCCCCTAAAACTTCAACAGTGCCCTCTTTTGCCAGGAAAAGTGTAAAAGGTTGAAAAGTGTGCTTATGATGAATTCAGAGGAACCAGCTTAGAGATGGTTAGTCCTCTTGACCCCTTCACGGCGGGATTATTTTGACCGCAACTGCTGGGCCGTGGCATGCCATGAATAGAGGGCTTTGTCCAGCAGCAGGCCCCATTGAACCAGCAGCTGCATGGTGAATAGACTGTATGTGTGGCATGCACTTATCCTCACACAACGGTGCGGTAGTAGCAGTCCTCCGTAGCGGAAGGGTTAGAAGGCCACTAAAAGACCTTTGGGTTATTTTTGAGATTGAGGGTTTTGGAGATAGATTAACTGTCTAAAAACACAAATAAAATTGATTTACCAGCTGAAACTAATACCACAAGAAATTACAGGAATTTTCCTGCAATGCCGAATCTGGCCAATTTCCGAAAAGCGCGAGGTCAACTTCAGTGTTTACGTTGGGGCTTGTGAGGTCAAGTACAGATGCCATACGTTCAACACACACGTGTACAAGGAGCATTGTGTTCGCGTCCGTGTGCATAGATCCCAACGCAAAGGGTAACAGACCAGCTAAATGCTGTGGTAGAAACAGCTGTTACTACACAAGTTACCAGACCACGGTTCCGCGTCGTGCATTAGTCCGATGTTTGTGAGCTCACTTGTGCCCCTGGTAGAATTCCGTCGGTAAGTTTGGCGTTTTGCAGGAGATTTGTAGACAAAATGTTAAGTTCCTCTAGCGACGAACCCATTTCGCGTTATAGCAGTGAAGAAGAACTGTTTGATGTGGAGGACAGTGACAGGGAACCCGTTGTTGAAGTTTGTGGTGCCGAGCCCTACAGATACAAACCCGTAGCGGCCCAGCGAGAAACTGTGGCGGATGCTGACCGCGTTGCTGCAAGGGCCCATGTCGGACAGCAAAACCGGCCTGGCAACTCTGAGGGGTTAGTATATTTTGTATTTCATCAGAGAGCGATAAATCTGGTGTTTAGTTTGCTCAATCATTTCTTGGTTTGAGGAATGAATTTCATACTCGGCTGCCTTATTCATGAAGATGCCGACCCCCTACCCCGTTTCTTCACCATTCGCACTGGACATGAAATATGCTATACATGTATATTAAAAAACAGAGAAACTACTTCAAGAAAAGGCAAATCATGCATGTACATGTGCTTTGTAGAGCTATAAGCTTTTATAAACATTGCTTACAATGCAAAACTTGTAATATCAAACCTTAGGTTATATCCACATTAAATTATTTCTACCCGGAAAATATTAATGAAAGTGTCAGTGTTATTAGAATGACAAAAATCACGTCACATTTTGTCCGACAACCACACAGAAAATGAAAGCAATTGCACTCACTCATTCATGGGGTGGTAGAAAAAAAGCACTCTTTTCTTGAGAAGTAGGCGTACATAATTCTGTTTCATGAATATTTGAGATGTACATGTATATTTGACTTCAGAAAAATGACCCAAAATAGCAACGTCAAGTTGTACATGTACATGTGTAGGCTTGTAAAAACCTCACAGTTATTCATGGAACATGTATATATATGCATTTGTTGTGCATTAAACATTCTCCATTTTTTCCTGGAAAATCTACACCCTTTGTACATGTACCTGGCAAATCATTTCATGCTTATCCCTTTCTTTTCATTACAATAAGGTGTCGGTGTGGAAGATGCGCTCCACACAATGAACTGGTTGATTGCAAGTGCTGCCACGAGTACCCGTAAATGATGGCTAAAGTTGCTGAAGAAAACCTCACATCCACCCAGTGCCTAACGGAGTACCCATGGTTCGAGGCAACCTGCCTCAACCCAGGAACACTCCAGACTGCCTGCTATGGATATAGACATCAATACGGTGCCACAGCCATTGAAAGGGAGTGACAAGTAAGGGGCTTTTACTCTTAGAATTCTACACCAAGGCCAAGTATCGAACTTATATTTATGTTTTACGTTATGGCAACGTTAATTTGGAGGGAAAAAAAGGAAAGGGCATGTGATGCACTTTGATTAGGCCTGAAGCTTACTGGAGTATAACTTGACAAAGAAACAAAAAATCAATTGTACACACTGTTGGTCTGTTTTCATTGCAAGAATGGAATACACTCGCAGGTTGATTCGACTGAGCCCAAACATCTTGTGAAATGAAATGATCTTAGAAAGTCCATGCAATGCAGTGCCATCCATAATCAGTACCATTCACCACGAAATACCAACAGATTTTAGTTCATCAGGAACTTGTCAGACATAATTAGCTATGCATAGACATGTATGTGCACGTACATGTACCTGCCTTGCATACGATGCTACAGTTTTATTTCACAAATTGTAATAAAAAAGCAATCACGCTCTTTGAATGGAACCAAGCCATTTGTTTAAACAATTTTCCTGAAGGCAACATTGTATTAATTCATATGTAAATATGAACTGCTACAAAGGATTCATTCTGGTCTCCAGGTGCAAACATTCAACATTTTCTCAAAATCAAATGCTAATGCATGACCGTGTGGCACTGAAAAATTTGAATAAGGGAGCTATTACTGGTGTTCATGAGTAATGGAAATGTGGACCTTTTTTTTCAAAGAGAACAATATTTGACGGTGGACTTGTCCCAGTGCCCTAATTATCATGGTACTCGTCTCTTTTTCAGGAAATTTCGGCATGTACTTGTAGCATACCGTCAAGTTGTAAGATGGTGCTGGGGATACCTGGGGAAGCCCAGCAGGATACCTTTGCCATCTTGTGTCATGCCAATTGCACCTATCCAAGTCCAGATGGTATTTATTGAGGATTCAGCTACCCATCCCTGCAGGAACTGTAGAGTGTTTTCCAAGAGCAGAAGTCTACGATATACATGAAAAGAAGTGTTTTGACTCAGCCCCAATTTAATGTAATACTTAATTAAAATACATTGGTGAAGAATTGTTATTTGCTCTAATTTAATTGCTAGTGAACAATGCCATTCTTAAAGATATCATAATTATTAGCCTAATGATAGTTACAATACCTTACATATATAATGGAAATTTTAAAGCATTTAGGACCCATGTTGAAGATCCCCACTGACAAAGCCTCTATCTTTGATTATCCAGATTTCTCCTGATCGTGTCGCAATTCAATTTGTCCCTGCTCTGAGTTCTCTCTTCTTGTGTTTTTAGAGTAACTCTTGTCATTTCGGCACCTATTTTGTGACAGTCTGACCCATCATTCCTGCACATGTAAATTCTTGAGACAGGTCAGCCCGAAACCTGCAGTTTTTGCACACGCGACCTTTTGAGGTCACAAGCTGGCATGCACATTTATGGTCTTGAACCCCAAATATTACCCCCGCCCCTTGTAGATGGGACTGAAAAAAAATCCTGGGTCTTTGACGGTTAATATTGAATACTTCCGGTTAGCTCCTTATCTTCAGTGTTGTGGCTGTTGGACTTCTGAGGTTTAGAAGGATTGGTTCTTCAACAGTTGTGATTTAGCGAAATGCATTCATGCTTTATTACTCTTTTGTCGTGGGTGTTTCACCTGAAGTGCGATGACAGCATAGTCTCATCAAATGCATACCAAGTGATTAAAACATGTAAAATTGAAAATCACTTGCATGTACATGTACGTAGATCTCCTTGGTTGTACAGAATATGAGACCACAAATAGCTGACTGCAGTGGCGTAATAAACGCAGCTGTTTTATAAAACGTGCACAACATCACGCTCAAATTTATGTCTGTGTTTATTTTTGGTACATTCGCAGCATCAGAGAATTTTGTATTAATGAAGGCTTCATGGCAAGAATGCAAACCGAGCCCACACGGCGAAATGGGTTTGATGTTACATTGTTTATACACTCGTAACCTTTAATTCAGCCTTGGTGAAACATGTAGTAGGAGTCCACCACACTGCTTTATTTTTTCTCTCTTCGCTAACTCAAGATGATGACAGCATTGCTCAAAGGAGTACATGTACTCATATAGATGCATTAGTCATCTCCAAGGAGCCTGAAGAAAAAATAACTGAAAGTTTAGGGTGGATGCATGACTTTGGCAGGAGGATCCTTTGCCAGAAGGCCTTGATTAAGGGGGTTACAGTCACATTCATTCTCATATTTCTCTTCCGGCAGAAGAAATTCCACAACAGATTTCTTTAGAATCTTTTCAAAATTGAGTGGCCCTTTTTTTTGGGGGGGGGGTGGACCCAGTAAATCTCAATCATATGGTGTGTTACAATTGTGGTGAATACATGGAAGTGTTTGAACAATCAATACTGGCATGTCTATGTGTGATACTTCACTTTGTCTTGAATAAATCTTCAGGTTTGGAAGACTTTCCATGCTTTGTCTTCATGCTCAATTCTCAGCATAATTCTTAGTCACATCAATGAGAAAAATTGTCATATTCGTTAAGATTGCTTTTAATCATACGTACTCAAACATATCCATCTCTAAAACTAATATATACATGCCTCAAATAAGACTTGTAACAACTATTACCAGGAGAGAGCCACTTCCTTGCAGTCAATCCTCCATGGGCACACCTGGAAAATGGCAGAATCTCCCCTTCCTCAGTGGGGTGGTTGTAGAAGGTTCTTTCAGGGTTGAATTTAAGAGCAGTAGAAGGCCGCGCAGGAAAACATGTCTGCTAAGTTCAATTTCCCATCCTGGACCCTATGTTTTGTCTCGCATTTTCAAAACTTTATTGTTATTTTGTAATGTCCAGTGCAACCATAATAACTGTGTTATTGTATGTTTTACAACTTGTGTCTTAACTCCATACAGACAGTCAACAAAGTATGCACGTATTTTTCCTGTGTTTTATTGTTGTATTGAAGTTCACTGACAGTCTCAAACACAGGATATAAACCATTGTGTGACAGTTGCTCTATACAAAACTCAACTCATGCTTTCTACCATTAAAAGAGGGCCGTCAGGAATGTCCTGTGAAATGTCGCTGGAGTTATCTGTGACAGGGAAAGAGGACAAACAAGATGAAGTGTGTAAATTGATTGTTGACATTTTTGCCCCTCTACCCAGATTGGAACAGTGGCGGTGGGGGTGGTGGTTTCAACAACTTTGGCAGGAACTACGGTGGGGATAGTTCCAACTTTGGGCCCATGAAGAACACACAGTTTAACAACAGAGGCCAGACTCCATACAGTGGTGAGTGCATTTGCCATGCATGTTGTGCATCGGTTTTGGAAGCAGTGTCAGAAGTGTGCAACGTCTGTGAATCAAGTTGGCTGGGAATCGTGTCTTACACTTGGTGAAATAAACTTGCGAGAAATTTGCCGTTTTGCCATCAGTTTTTTTAATGTGAATCACTCGGAGATTTGTGTTATGTGTTTATCGCAGTGTTGGACATTTTAGACATAATCCAGGTTTCCTCTTTTCTGCCAGATTTTGGACAGATTGGATCTTGGCAGACTGGCTGCCTGTCAAAACATGTAGGCCATGTGTGCGACACATGCTTTGGTAGACAACCTGTATACAATACTGGATTGGATTGTGTGATAGTTGAAGATTTGACAAAATGGGTGCGAATGGGAACCTTCCTATATGTGCAATACATCATTCTCTGCACAATATTTTTTCTTCGTATTTACATGCGTTGCTCCAATTCAGAGATGGTCTTTTCCAGAATGTGGCCATTGTTAGTGTTTGGTTTGAAATGTTTCATATTTTGCACTCACTGTACACTGCTTGAACTGGGGCTTTTTTTATCTTTTCTCATACAGGTGGTAACGGATTCGGCAACAATATGGGGAGGAATATGGGAGGGAATATGGGCGGTAATATGGGTAACATGGGTGGCAATATGGGCAACATGGGTGGCAATATGGGCAGCAATATGGGAAACATGGGAGGCATGGGTAATATGGGTGGTGGTATGGGCAATATGGGCGGCAACATGGGTGGCAATATGGGCAACATGGGGAACATGGGCAACAACATGGGCGGTAATATGGGCAACATGGGCCGAGGCATGGGCGGGGGGA